GGTTAATGATGATTGTCAACTTGCTGGGGTTTAGAATTGTCATGGGGGGGGGGGAATCTCTGGGCCTGCAAGTGAGACATTATCTTGATAAAGTTAGTTGAGGTGGTAAGACTCATCCTAGGGGACACCATTCCAAGAACGGGGGTCCTAGACTGAGTAACAGGAGAAGGCCAGCTGAGCACAGACGTTCCTGTGCCTTGCTTCCTGGTCGTGAACACAATGCGACCAGCCACCTCAAATTCCACATGCCGTGACTTCCCCTCCACGGTGAACTGTGTCGCCTCACACTGTAAGCCAAAATAAACCTTCCCTTCCTTAAGTGTGCTTCTCGTCAGGTATTTGGTCACAACAGTGAAAAATGTCACTAATATGTCTCCCCAGATACTAGCTCCCCATTACTGCCATTAAAAAGCCATTCAACAAATACTTGTGGAGAAATGACTGAGTGCCGGCTCATGATTAAGGGTCGACATCCAGTGCTCACACAGAAACTCTGAGCCAAGTGAGCCAAGGATGTTGTTCATGTCCCCACTCCACCATTACTTGGTGACTTGCTTTTTTGTTTTTTAATTAAAAAAAAAAAGTCAGGTTTTTTTTGTTTGTTTGTTTGTTTTGCTGTCAAGAAACACTGGCCTTGTCCTATGCCCTTGGGAAATGAGAAATATAAGCCGTTACTCTCTCTCTCTCTGAGTTATATTTCTGTTCATCTCGACATGGCTGCTGCATTCTCCTACCTCTATGATCAGAGTTCTCTGCTTCCCCCTATCAGAAACAGCCTTTAGTGTGTATTAGTCAGGTAAAACTAGCTCTGTTTCAGTAACAAATAAGCCCCAGATTTCAGTGACCTAAAATTGCAAAATAGAAATGTAGCATGAATCTTAAAAGTTCTTATTAATAAAATCAAACCCGAGGCCAGTTATTGGGGTCCATGCTGGAAGATCAGAGAGACAGAACAAGCCACAGTTATCTCACCTCACCGGATCCTCAGTTGGTCTTGTCTCCTCAGACTGGAGGCCTCTGAGTCCTCATCCAGAATGGGTCTCAGCTGAACTGCTGCTCAAAAGCCTGAATGCTTAGCTTAACCAGGCCAAATGCTTAACCAGGCCAAATGCTTCTAGTTTCTGGTCCTCACGCCATATACCTTTCTGCTTTCTACCACCATTCCCTGGGATTAAAGGCTTGCTTTCTGGGATTAAAGGCGTGATGAGTCATCATGCCTGTCTGTATCCTTGAACACATGGATTTCTGCCTCTGGAATCCATGGATTAAAGCCCATGGATTAAAGGCGTGTGCTACCACTGCCTATCCTTTATGTTTAATATTGTGGCTGCTCTGTCTCTGACCCCAGATAAGTTTATTAGCATGCACAATATTTGGGGGAATACAATACCACATAGAAATGCAAAGATTTCTTCTAAATTGGTCTCATTACATGTCCACCAAGAGTTAGTCATGGGGGAGGAGGTCACATGAGAACCCAGAATGGCAGAGAAATGACAATCTTAAAAAATAAATACTGTGAGGCATAGACCAGCTCTTAAAGTATCCATCACAGGTCTCTTATACTCACATTTCCTTGACCAAAGCATTCTCACTTTGGTGAGGATATATAACTCTGCCAAGGCACTGGCTGGACAGAGAGAGCCCAAGCACCATTAAATAACCATAACCACTTCTGCACATGGCCTCTTCAGCTCAAACTCCAAGGCCTTTTCATTTCAGCAGTTATGACTCCTATTTTCTGTGTTCCTTAGTGTGAGCTATGGTGCGAGAGAGTCTGAGTAGCCCAGTTCACCTTGCCTGACAGGCCATATTAGCTCCTTGGTTCATCTTTCTACCTGTCCCTGTTCATGGTCAAACGCTAGGGAACAAAGATATACCATATAGCAAGTGGCTATCCAGCTCTCTCTTTATGGTCCACTTCGAGAATCAGAAGACCTGCCCAGCACAGAATTTGTTGTTGAAATCATGGTATTTGGCTTGTCATATCCCTTGATGGAAGGAAGGCCGTGGGTAGAACAATCCATGAAGTTGGGTGGGACCTGTCCAGCTGTCAGGCTATTAATCAGAGAACAGAAGTCCACAGGAATGAAATGGCAATGGCTGAATTCAGGGACCCACCATGTCAACCCACCAGTGGAGATAATACTGGAACTGGAAAGCTAGCTTAGTGAGCACTTGAGTTCACTCCCCAGAATCTATGCTGAAAATCCAGGTATGGTGGTGTACATTTGCCATCCAGGCGCTAGAGCAGAGGACCCCTGGGGATCTCCACCCAGCAAGCCTAGCCTACAAGGCAAGTTCCAGGCCATTGAGAGGCCTTGTCTCAAAACCAAAGTAGATGGCATCCTGAGGAGCAACATCAAGGTTGACCACACACACACACACACACACACACACACACACACACATACACACACACGTTAGCTCACTGTAACTCCATTTCCACACTTGAGCTCCATTGGCTCCAGCCTTTGAGTAAAGCTGTAGGTGAGACACAAGCCAGGGCTAAGGAGAGGTAGGAAGAAATCTATAACTTCTACCCACACAAGAGTCATGTATTATGTAACCCCAGGACGCAGGAGGCAGAGGAAAGAGAACGGGAGTTCAAGGACCACCTAGAATCCCAAGTCCTCTGCCATGTGGCCTCACCTTGCCTTTCCAGTCTGATGTCCCAGAAAACCTGCCACCCATCCACCGTCAATGGCTTCTCACTCCCTGTTGTTACCCTTCTCTAAAAGACCCTTTCTGAGGTCTTACACCCCTGTTCATTCTCAACATCCGGATGAGAAAGATGAATGTCACCCAATTTTGAGTCCGGAGTCCAGTTGTGTATGTAGCAGGTAGCCAACTGTGCCGTGTTTGATGAACTGTAGCATTAGTTCATTTTAAAAGGCTGTAGTGACCCTTCAGGTCTTCAGCTCCGCCCAGCACGCTGAGGAAGTCAGTGTCTCCTCCAGCACCCCATTCAGAGAACAGAGAATGGAGGAAGGCTTACCCTGGCTAAGGCTACATTAAAAAGAAGTGGCCACATTCATTTTGGATCTCAACTTCTAACCCCCCCCCCCCCCGAGTCCCTATTCTCCCCCCTTTGTTAAGTCCAGGCTGGAGTCAGCTTCCTACAGCCCACACATCTGAACACTGCCCACAGCCTGTGTCCAGGGTGTCAGCGCTCCGAGTCACTCAGCATGTGGCAAGCAAGGGCTCCGGTGAATTTTCTGTACCACAAAAGCCCTGTGCACCCGGCTCCCATGTTCTGGTCATTGCAAGAGGTTCTGCTTTCCCTCCTGGGCAGTCAGAAACCTGATAAAATCCTAAAGAGGAATTTGATCATTCTCTTGAAGGACTTAACAAGTCGTTTGGCCTGCCTAATCTGCTCGGACACCGTCTGGGGAATATTTGATATCCATGTAGTACAGGCTGTAAATTATTCTGTAGGGACTGGTCACAAGACCCTCACAACCCTGTCTCAGCTGGTCATCAGTAAGGTTTGGGGACAGCCTTCCTCTCTTGAAGCCTCATTGAAACTGAAAAGATCAGGCTTCTCCTCCTTGGGGTATGTTTAAAGAGATAGAGGGGGAAATCCTGCCTTCACAAACTTCTCCCACAATGCAGAGCTGGTCCCTTCCCTCTGCGGAGTTCAGGCGATGTAAAGAGTCTTTTTGTTAGACTAATTTGTACCATGTTCTCAGCACCCTGGCACCCAAGTGCTTAACACACACACACACACAGAGAGAGAGAGAGAGAGAGAGAGAGAGAGAGAGAGAGAGAGAGAGAGATGGATTCTCTGTATGGATCAGTGCAAGGAAAAGATGAAAAGCAAAATCTGAAGGGTCTCTGGGACTCCTCTACCCTCTGATCTTAGATATGAGGAAACCGGACCAGCAAGACAGCTCAGCAGGTAAAGGAGTCAAATCCAAAAACCTGTGTTGGATCCCAAGCCCCACAGGGTGGAAAGAGAACTGACTCCTAAAAGTTGTCCTCTGACTGCCACAGCCCACCATGAGAGAGTGCTCCTCTGTGAGCCCCCCTCCCCATAAGTAAATGAGTATAATAAAGTATTCAAATAAATAAATAGAGGGAGCTACAGAATTGAGGCTGTTACTAATCATGGCTACACAGCTGATCGTGACTAAAAACCAGACGCCAAGCTGCACCTCCCCCAGTTCCCACAGGGGAAAAAAAAAAACAAAAACTCTACACACTAACACACTCCCTCTCTACCCTTTCCAAAGCACCACATACGCACATAACTCCGCCAACTGGGCCCTAAGTCCCTAAAGTATTTTATTACCCACCCTCATCTTGGTGAAAAGACTCAAGAGACCTATTCGTTGTCATTGTGTCCACCAGCAAGGGCAGAGAGTCAGGAATGACCCCCACACCTTCCTCCAGCTCTATTTCTCTGCTCTGGTTGAAACTTCCAGACCATAAGAGCCAGGGTCTACCCCTGGTAGGCCAAGAGCTGCCAGGAGAGCGCCGCTGGGTACTGAGAGCTCCCAGGCCCAGATTCGAGGTGCAGTGGCTGTGACAGGTGGCCCCCAGGTCTTAGGCTGAGCACCCCAGAATCTGGACGCCAAGTGAGACCCGGTGCGCACACACCACCTGCCCTGCTCCCAGGATCCCGAGTGGCTCCAAGCGGGCTCTTCTGGGGATCCTCATGACTAGGCGATGGCTCTGGGAGGTGGCTAGAGACTCTCGCTCAGCGCCGGGCTCCGCTCCAGCGAGGTCCGGGCGCTCTTTCCCAGGCGCACAGGTTTAGAAATAGGACGGCCTCGCCCGGCCGCCGCCTCGGAGGCTCGGGTCCCCATATATAGTCATATCCACCGTCAACTGGGAGGCCGGCAGGCGGCAGCGAATGGGCGTGCGGCCCCCGCGGGAGGAGCGAGGAGGGGGCACGGGGCGGAGGCAGGAGACTGGGAAAGGGGGCAGGAGGAACAAGCTTTTCCAAAAAAGTATTGGCTGTCCTGAGGAATGCGGTCGCCCCCCTGGGAAAGTACATATCAGAGAGCAGCAGGCAGCTCCGCGCTCGCACTCCGTCTCGGCCACCCCACAGCGCTCGTGTCTTCGCTCCTTACACTGCCTAAGGGCCCCTCGCCACCGCCACCATGGACGCCATCAAGAAGAAGATGCAGATGCTGAAGCTCGACAAAGAGAACGCCTTGGATCGAGCTGAGCAGGCGGAGGCTGACAAGAAGGCGGCGGAAGACCGGAGCAAGCAGGTCTGCGCCTACCCCCCCTCTCACTCCCCCCCCATCACCCCGACTCAGAGTCGGCGGGTCGCCCCCGATACCCGAGCTGGCACCCTTTCCCCATCCCATCCCAAGCCCACGGTGTCCAGGAGCGCGCGTCTAAAAAAATAATAAAAGAAGAAGAAGCGCGAGTTAGGCTACTTTTAACTTTTCTGTCTCCTCCAAGGACGCTTGTGGCCCTTCTCTGGATCCCACGGTCCGCGAGGTCCACGAACTCCCTAGAGAGGTTCTTGACTCTCGGGACTGGGAATCAATTTTGAAAGAGGAAGGGAGAAAGGAGACCAATTCTCGGTGTAGCCGGAGGGAAGGGCGGGGGAGCGGGGCAAGGCAAAAGTCCTAGAGTGTCCGGAGTTCTTTGGACTTTTTGGTTGGGGAGAAAGAGCCCTTGACCATGGGATGGAGACTTTGGAGGGAAGAGGGGAATCGCTGAATTATTTCCTAAGAACAAAGATGGGACAGAATGGAAGACACAGATGGAAAGCTAGCCAGACAGGGGCGTGTTTCTGCAACCCCTCAAGTCGGGGACCTGAGCTCTCGGCAGGAGAGTGTGGTCCCGGGAGGGGCGCGGGGCGGTGCGAGATGAGTCACTGAGAGGTTCCAGCTCCCGGAGAGAGATTATCTAGGGTCCCTTGAGCCCCAAAGCAGCGATCCCTCAGCCCCAGGGCCCCAGCCAACCTGGCACCCATTTGTTGTGTGTCTCACACCCGGTCCATACCGGCCGTCCGCGCCCGCTCGCTGCTGCCCCCAGCTCGAGGAGGACATCGCAGCGAAAGAGAAGCTGCTGCGGGCGTCGGAGGACGAGCGGGACCGGGTGCTGGAGGAGCTGCACAAGGCAGAGGACAGCCTCCTGGCTGCCGACGAGACCGCCGCCAAGGTACCCGGGCGCGCGGCGTGGCACGGCGCACGAATGGCTAACTTTCTCTTCTCTCTCCCTCCCTGTCTTTCCCTCTCTCTCTCTCTCTCCCGCTGTCCCTGTCCTTTACGGTCTGTGCACCCTCACCCCGCACCTTGCGGGATCACGCTGCCTGCCGCACCCCACCCCCCTCTCCCCTTCCCCGTACCCCACCGCCAACTCCCAGCTGGAAGATGAGCTGGTGTCCCTGCAAAAGAAACTCAAAGGCACTGAAGATGAACTGGACAAATACTCCGAGGCTCTCAAAGATGCCCAGGAGAAGCTGGAGCTGGCGGAGAAAAAGGCCACAGATGTAAGTGCACGCTCACACTGCCTCCCTCACCTCCTGTCCGCGTGGCCACTCTGAGGGTCACCACAGGGACTGCAGAGCAAAGGAAGGAGGTAAACCTCCTCCTGCCGGACACCTGCACACAGCCTGGCCGTGGCCCAGAGCACTGGATGCCGCCTCTGACTGCCGCTGCGCACATTCATTTATATTTCCTCCGTTCCTTTTTCTCTTTTTTCCTCTTCTTTACCTCCTCCCCTTTGGTTGGAGGTGGGTGGGTGAGAAGCTGGGAGAACACAGCCTCTGAAACGGGGGCTTTTGGAGGTGAACTTCGCCTCCTGCTGGTATAAAACCTCTGAAGTGTGTGTGTCATCGCCAAGGTTTGTGCAAAACAGAATACCTAGTTGTCTTGTTTGCCACCCCCCACCCCCGTGGTTTCGATGATGGGCCCAGTCTGGATACAGAGAGCCTGGCCTTTACATGCACTCATACTTTTACTCCCAAGGCTAAGCCTGAAAGACTATAGGGACACTTTGAGGCTCTCTTTCTCACTCAGGCCAGCCTTAAGACCTGCCCAGGGAAGATGATACTTGCTCGGGTCTGCAGCCTGAGGCACTAGATCCAGAAAGTACGCAGGGAGTTATATATAGCTCAGTGCTTTATATGGCATAGTGAGCTGACTGCCCCCTGCCCGCCCCACCCCCACCTGTCAGGCCTCCGACAACCACGGCATACTTCCAGGGGGTGATAGACACAGCTCCAACTCTGCTAAGCACCCTCTCCCTGCCCTTTGGAATCTTAACTACGGGGCTAGTCTCTTCTGTGTAGAAAGTCAAGCTGAGGGTCAGTTTTCCAAAGGGCTGACTTCTTTTCTCACCACTACATTCCACCGGAGAAGCCAATTAAGCCTAGAGGCCCAATTAGAAAAGAATTCCTTGGGAAGCTGATAACAATTCCAAGAATGTGTGAGTAGCAAAGAAAGCTACACCCAGAAGTCGAACCCCCAAGTTTGACAGCAGTTTGTAATTTTCTGGTTTTGTGTTTTGGATAATGTGTAATGCGGATTTCCCAAGGGTTTTTGAAACCTGCAAGGCCTTTTGTGTCCTCAAAGGCTTGAGGTTTATCTAGTGTTCTTGGTAAATGGGTGGTCTAGACCAGCCAACAACTGGGATCGGACAAAAGAAAACTTTCAGTGACGATTAAGTTTCCTGGGAAGGAGGCTTCGGGAAGCACTGCTTGGCTAAAACTCATACAAAACCTACCTGACTTTAGAGAAAGAACAACAAAACAGCCTTCAGGACTGAGCCAGTTTTGTATAATGTGGATCAGATGTCTGCTTTGTACATGTTAAATGGAGGATGCCCATCTCCCCCAAATCCTCCTGCAGGACATTTATTTAGGTTTTTCAAAAGAGCCGCTGATAGATCTAGGAGAGATATTCCTTATAAGGAAAGGAATTCGGAGAATTTGCAAATAGCCCAGTGCGGAAAGAAAGCAGAAAGAAAAATGTTACTATAATTCTTAAGGAAGTGAGGGGATGATAATTGTTGTAACTATGGAGTGGTAATCATGTCTTTAATGAGAAATCGTGTTGGGGGGGGCTAGTGGAATGGGGTGGGTCAGAAGTAGAAAGGAGGCTATTTAAAGTCAGCTGTGGGGGCGGGGCCAGGAGGAGAGGGAGGTTCTTAAAGCCAGTTTTGGTTCTCTCTATGTGCTGGAAAACTGTCTCTAAATATGGTGTGAGCGTGCACTTCTCAGTTTCTTTTGGTTGGTGTATTGATCATCTACCTCTGTAAAACACTGTTAGCTCTTTGGAGACAAGGAATGTTGAAGGAGGTTCATGAGGAGTCGTTATATTTAGAGAGATCTTGACTCACTTGAAATAGCTACGGCTTGAAGAGGAAAAGACATGTGTCACTAAAGTGAAGAGGTGGAAGAGAAGTCATCCTCCTGAAGTACTGCAGTGAGGACATTTTACTCTCTAGTGTTAAAAAAATACATTTTTTATTATTATTGCTAAAAACATTTTCCCAATTTACCAACCTACTTTACAAACTATAGTCATCCAGAAACAGGTTTTCCTCAGTTTAAAAGGCTGTCACTCAGGAGCTAGCATTCCCAGCAATCTGCTTTGGATTTTTACTCCATTATCTGGCTCCTTCCCCCCAGTAACTGATGGAGCTGATATTTGCGGGACATGAGTCTTTCTCCCTCTAGGTTTTCTTCCTAATGTACTGACTCAGGTTTGTCTAAACTCAGGTTTTCCCCTGGGATCTCTGGGGATGGGACCCAGCCACAGTATAACCAAGGGATTGCATCCTGGAGCTAAACCTAACAACTAACTGCCCATAGCTCTTCAGTAGTGACATCAACTTGAAAATAAACTCCCGAAACTGACTTCCTAGTGCTTGAAAAGCAAGACATTAAATCACTAGGGTGGCTGCTTACTGCATTGGCAAATGGCCAGTTTTTTCCCTGGCTGCCCTTGGATGGTTGCAGATGCCCTGTCTGGTCATCCTCAAGGTTGGAGGCAGACGGTCTGTGAGCTTTGGGGAGGAGCTGTACCAACCACTGCTCAGCCAACCCAGGGCTTGGAAACCAAGCAAGAGGCTCCACCTACAGGACTTGAGGGCTCTAGCCAGAGTTGGAGGCTTTTTTTTCTGCAACAGAGGCCAGAGGGGACTAGGAATGCCAGAGGTGTTCTGGTTTTAGAAGACAGCCTTGACAAGAGTGTTTTGTTTTTATTATTATTATTATTATTAGCCGGGTGGTGGTGGCGCACACCTTTAATCCCAGCACTTGGCAGGCAGAGCCAGGTGGGTCTCTGTGAGTTCGAGGCCAGCCTGGGCTACAGCAAAGCTACACATAGAAACCGTGTCTCAAAAAACAAAAAAAACAAAACAAAAAAAAAAAAGTTTTCTTTTTCTACCTTTGTTTACACACACACACACACACACACACACACACACACACACAAGTCCAGGACTGTAAGAGCTCTCTTTGACAAAGGTGCAGGAGGATATAAAGCCCAGAGACTTGACAGATGGCTTCTTCCAGATTATATCCGTGTGGCTTTGCAGCTGGTAACCAGCGGTTCTGTCACACAGGCTTCTGTAGTTTTGCTGCTTGGGTTTGTCGGATTCCAGATATCAGACTGAATTGAAGCCAGGGAAGGTTAGGATGCTTGCCTTGACTGAGATTGCCCAGAGGGATATGGGGCCCCGCCAAACTCTTAAGGTAGTGCCTGCGTTTGTTTAATTATATCGTTTGAGTTCTTAACTATATGAAAGACATTGTTAAGTGTTTTATATTATCTGATAATTCTCAGCAGCCCCGTGAAGAGCCCTGTACTATTATACTCGTTTTTAAGAGATGAAGCCCTGAGAAGTCATTTGTCCAAAGCCAGCAGAGACCTAAGAGCTAGATTCAAATCTAGAAAAGCTGTATTTCGAACAGTCTAAACACTGCGCATTGTCAGATAGTAATTTGCACTTGGTGAGATAATTCGGGTATTGGGGTTCTTGTAGTCAGGAGCTTGTGTTCTAGGATTCTTTACAAGAACCACTTCCCTTAAGATAGTCATGCTATAGGCTTCAAGTTCCTTGTTCGGATTCTGGGAAGTCGGGATTACTGAGCGCTCAGGACCTCCAGCAGGAGTCGCCATGGCCTTTAGCATTTAGAATGATGGCATTCCTTATGACCAAAACAGTTCCTTTAGGGAACATTCAGGGTCCAGACTCCCAGCCTGGCTGGGCTTCAGTAATCGGGATTCCGGAGCGCTCCAAGCGACCAGCAGGAGTCGCCATAGGCTTTAGCATCCAGACCCTCTACTTGTGGCCACCCAGGCGCGGCGGAGTGGAAGCAAACGCCCTCCTGCGGTGGCCTCGCTCTAGGCGAAGCAGCCCAGAGCTAGGCGTCCCCGCGCGCACGCGCAGTGGTTCCACCGGCAGCCTGTTCCCGGGGTCTGCCGTGCCCCGCCCGCCTGCCAGCCGCGCCCGTCCTCTGCGCTCGCGCACCCGCCTGCGGCTCTCTGGTGCGGCCCCGGGGCCGCGACTTCCGGGCTGCTTCTGGGCCGCAGGGGGCGCCGGTGTTGCAAAGCCGGCCTGGGCGGAACGCGCCGGACTTGGGCTCGGTAGCGGCGGCAGCAGCAGCAGCAGTAGAGCGCGGAGGCAGAGCGCAGCCTCAGCCACCGCCTCGCCATGGCGGGTAGCAGCTCGCTGGAGGCGGTGCGGAGAAAGATCCGGAGCCTGCAAGAGCAGGCGGACGCCGCAGAGGAGCGTGCGGGCAGCCTGCAGCGCGAACTGGATCAGGAGCGGAAGCTGCGGGAGACCGTAAGGGACCCACCCATCACCCCGAGGCCCCACGCCGCACCTGGCGCACCTAGGCCAACTGGCACCCGGCTGCTCGGTCCTGCCTATGTATCTCCCTAGTCTAAAGTCAAAACCCCCAGTGGGGAGCAAGAGTGCTCTTGGGAAGGTTCTGGGAGCGGCATTTTTCCTGAGAGAGGACTACATATCTGGGGTGATCATGAATTGTGTCCCAGGGATGCGCACTTTGGGCTGCTGGCATTTATTTACTCATACTGGGGTTGGAAGGAGGCGTCCCTCCTTTTAAAGATCAGTCTCTGGGGAGAAGCACTGTGGGACTTCGAGGCCTGTGGATGCTGGACTTTTGTCTCTGTTGATCCTGTCCTTCCTAGAGGCTGTTTCTCTATGGAGGTTAAAGACACCGACAGTACCAGGTTCTGAGCTAGCTTGATAGCTTGCAAACTATAGCCTTAGGTTTCTTAGCCCTCCCATCTCCCAAGTAGGTGTCCCTCTACAATAGATACCCCTTTGTTACGAGTTTTGGAAAAGTTGGCCAGATGTCAACGGTTACTGGTTATACCTTTTGCCGGCCTCCCCTCCTCCTTGTCTAATGTAGTACCTGGCTTCCTTTCTTCCTAAGGAAATGTATCCAGCAAACAGAAACGGGGTTCCAAAGGGAGTTTAGGTATTAGATATTTATCAGTCGTGTGTGTGTGTGTG